TGGAGTACTTCTGAAGGTTTGTGTCAGAAGATATGATCAAGGCTCTGGCAGGTAACACCAATGAGTACAGATTACAAAAGAAAGGAGCATTAATAAAACCATTATGAGACTATGGGAATTGAACATGGCTATGAACAGAGCAAGACATTGTAAATACCAGTAAATAGTCTTGATTTAATATATTTTTATAATAAATATAATATTCATTAAAACATGACTTGTCTGATTATTATTATTGTGTGATTATTTGTGTATGGATATATAGGCTGCTGTTTTGGGGCTACATAAGCAGTATACCCTGCAAATAAACCCTTAGATCTTCTTTAGATTTGTTCAGACAGTAAAATCACTGAAATTCTGCTACCCCAAAGGCCCAACGTTGTAATATTACAACATTTCACTAAAAACATACTAAAATATAAAACATGTTAAAACTCATTTATTTCTTCATTAGAGGCCTCCCACAACAACATATAAATGGTGAAATAATTTTTTTTCACAGATTTTTTCTACATTTTGGTCTTTCAGGGTTAACATTGTCATGTACATTACCATGCAAATCCCTCAGAGAGTTGTCATTACAGAAATATAATTGTTTGTTTTCTTGGTTTTGGTCAAGTTTAGCAGGGCTCGACTATAAGGGCTGGCCCATTGGTCTATAGCCAATGTAAGAGAGTGAGAGCTTGAAGGTCAAGCATTAGAAGCACATGCCAATTTTTTAGCAAAAGTGTCAGGCTTTAATGTAGTTACATTACAGCTGTAATTATTTCCAAATTGTTGCAAATTTTCTTTTTGTAAACAAAAGTTTAAATGAATAGAACTTCTTTTTTGGCAAGCTCACTGAAAATGCTGTCAGGGCAGTAACATACTTTCCAAGAAACATCTCTTTACAAAAATATTATTGTTAAGTAAACTGATAAAATAAACCTTTGACGAATTTCTGTGTCTGTCATAGAGGACAGTCGGGGTAAACCATTTCTTTCATGATCATGAACCAGATTCTCTGGTATAGCTTCAACTTTTGAGAACACTCCTGAAAGACAAAAAAGTTAAGCATGTTTTAAGTCCAAAGGAGATTTGCAGGTTGCCATTATACTTAAAATGTGATGCTGAATTAGGGGAATTCTACAGTTTTATGGGAATTTTGCAGTTTCAAATTACTTGTAAGATTTATTGACTATACGTGTTATTTTATCTGAAAACATATCTTACCATTATGGACAATTAGTTATTTTACCTGAAGACATATCTTACCATTAAGGACAATTAGAACCTTCTTCCACTGTGTATTTCCAACTTTGGGTGTCTGACAGAAGAGTATTTTGTGCTTGTCACACACAAAAATGCGGTCCAAGACAAACTTGTCCACAGTTGTGTGGGTGAGGTTCCACATAGATGCATTTCTGCAAACAGTTGATAAGAGCTCCAGACGCTTCTCATTCACTGACTGCCAGTCTATGGGCTCCACCACAGAAGGACCAACGGAGGACTAACACCCACAACACAATCGACACACATGCACATATACATGAAAGCCAAAAACACACAATATATAACTAAAAATTCAATTCAAGTTGCTTTTAAATAAAGCAAATAAGTGAACCCAGTGTACAATGGCAAACTGTCTTACCAGTATGTATGGCTGTGATGCTCCCTTGTCTGGCCACTGGACTGAAGTATGTTTCGTCGTAACAGATGGAAAGGTCCAAACAAACATCTCTCTCCTCTCCGCATAGTCTGAAAATGTATTGAAGGGAACTCTCAAAGTTGTGGGATATTTTAAATGACAAATACAACATAGCAGGGGTGCAAATCTGGTTTGACAGGCGGTGGGCCCAAAACGGAGTACTGGGTGTAGGGGTGGAAGAAAAAACGATTCTCCAATGCAATGGAGCTGTATTCTACTTGCTGCCAATTAAACACAAACACACACACAACATTGGTTAAAGTCCCCCTGTAGTGAAAATCAAGTTTTTTATGTTGTTTATTTGTCTATGTGGTGTTTTTAATATGTTTTTAGACAAATCATGGGCCAATCCATTAATCAACACCATTGCTGAGAATATTCTCCTTAAAACTGTACTTTCCTAAAAGGCAGTCCCAAAAACTCGGTTTGAAACAGCCCTTTTTTTGCTATGTCAAAAAAATCAATAACCAATCACGTCAAGGGATCCTATCATTAGCATATCATTAACTGTGCTCTAGTGAGAAGGCAGCCAGGTTAATCCGGTATATTTTTCTGATGTTTCGCTAGCTGTTGATATTTTTCACTATTTTCACAATAGCATGTGCTGTTAGTGCTTATTTATTTTATTGCACTGCTTGACAGTGTGCGGTATCAATCACCGGTATTTCAGTTTTTCTCTTGCAAGTGCTCTATGAAGGCATAATTTTTGCTGTTTGGAATGTAATATAAATTTGATATATGAAACTCACTAATTGACAGACGACAGATTTCAAAAGCTCATGTACGCTTTGTGTGTGTTTTTTCTGAAGTGCACTTGCGGCATGCAAGTTATGTCTTAAGAACTGGACATAACACCTGACATGTTAAAATAGATCTGTGCATTAGTGTGAATGTAGCCTTACCACTGTCTATGACATCATCAGTAATATGAAAATATGTTTATTATTTATTTTTAAAAATGGTATTTCTAAAAAAAAAAATATTTCCATTTGTTTTGTAAGTTTGGTCTGAGTTCTTGATGCTTTTACAACGTTTTCACCAGCAGGTGTTGCCAGCATGTGCTGTTTCAAGTGCTTTGAAACATCGAATCATTTTTCGAAGCAATTGGTTCAATTGATTCAATGCTTCGAAAAGCTTTGTTTCTCCCATCACTAGTTCGCTGTGCTGTATATTTCTGTTAATATTGTTTTCTTTTGAGTTTAAGTTACTGTGGTGTGGATTGTGTGGAGAATAGCGGAGGTTTCCGAGCTTCCGTCGCGGGGTCCGTCTGTCTAAAGGACTGGCGTGCTGCTTCCACCACTCTTTAGTTCCGCTGGCCGGTACCAATGGACTGATGAATTGTAGGGAGGATTGAGTTGTTTAAGTGGGCATTTCTTTCTAATTTTTAATTTCCTTAATTGTACTTTGGTTTAGTTTTTCTTTCTAAGACTTATATTTAATCTTTATTTCAATGGTTTAAATAGTTTGATACTTATATTGTTATTGTATTTTGTAGTTGTTTCTTGTTTTCCCCTCTTGTGTGCAACATGGACTAGTCAAGTTGAATAAATGTGCTCCTATTGTGTCATTTGTTAGTCAGTTCAGTTTGTTTGTCATGCTTTCAGTTATTTTGAGTTTAGTTTTGTTCTGGTGACCTCTTTTATAGGCCTATAGGTTTTTATAGGCTTTTCCTATGCCCTACTATTTTTTGACTGCTGGGTCCCTGACAAGTGGTGGCAGCGGTGGGATAGACCAGTAGGAGGCATAGTTTCCCAAAAATAATTTTTCTCCTCCCACCTTTCTCTGCCATTTGAACTTCAAGCTCTATGCCCCATGAATCGGGGAGGACGGAAAGCAGCCCCAAAGACTGCTCTGGTAGAGGAACCTGAAGAAGTGTTGCAGGAGCTGGGGGAGGATGGAGTGGCACAGGATGTGAGAGAGGCTGAGATTATAGAGCCTGAAAGTAGAGAGCCAATGCTTGCTGATTTGACAGGCCTGTTCCGAGCACATATGGCAACCATGGATGCCTGGGAAGCTCAAAGGAATCAAGAATATGCCCAGCAAGTGCGTCGGTTTAAAGCCCTTCAGCACCAGTTCAGTTTGTTGCAGCTGGAGGTGCAGGCTCGCATGACTCCCAACTCCTAATCCACTGCTGACTGCTGGGGACACCTTGGAAAGTCTGGATGATGATGATGCTGTCGCTAGCCACCCCCCCGTCTCAGTCCACCACCTGTCGAAAAGATCTCTCTGAAACTCGTGAGACAGGTCAGTGTCAATTTAAAGAGCCCAAACTTGAGAAGTTGTCTGAATCTGATGACATTGAGCACTTCCTAATCACTTTTGAGAGAATTGCAGCAGCTTGTCGGTGGCCAAAGGAGGATTGGGCCTTCCGCTTGATTCCTCTCTTGACGGGTAAGGCCAGTGCAGCTTATGTTCATATGGATGTTGATGAGACACTGGAGTATGAGGAAGTTAAATCTACCATCTTAAGAAAATATGACATCAACCGAGAAACTTATAGACAAAGGTTCCGTTCTCTAGATGTTGAACCCCTTAAGAGTCCCAAAGAATTATATATGCGATTAAAATAACTTTATGTCAAGTGGATGCAGCCAAAAGGTAAATCAGTTGAGGAAGTTATAATTCTGGAACAGTACCTAAGAATGCTTTCTCCTGAGCTCCAGGTTTGGATCCGGGAACATGATCCGAAGTCTGCTTTACAAGCAGCAACACTGGTAAATTTGTTTGTGGCGGCACGTAAGGGAAATCAGTCTTGGTGTTGGAAGACCAGCAGGGATAGCCGCCGACCAAACTTCCCCCAGCAACCTCAGAGAAATGTTCCTGGTACTGGAAAGCCTCCTGGAGGAGGGCCCATATTTGTGACTGCTGCTAAGAGTCATAGGAAAGTGCCAACCTGCTATCTGTGTAGTCAAGAGGGCCATACAAAACCAATGTGCCCTAAATATACAGCCAAGACTATTCACCTGTGTTATGTTCCCCCGAGGTCAAACGAGTCAAGAAGGAGAAGCTGGGTGGGCACCGCAGATGACCACCATGGAGGTGAATGGAAAGGAGTTGCAAGCCCTTGTAGACACAGGAAGTGATCAGACCCTGGTACATCACAAGTATATTCCACCAGCACAGCTCAACCTCAGTGATGAGAACTCCATTCGCTGTGTTCATGGTGATGAAAAACTTCTTCCTACTGCAGAAGTGTACATTAAAGTGAAGGGACAAACTTCACTCTTCACACAAACTTCACACAAAAATCTGCTTGATGTGGGTGTATCAGACCATCTACCATTCCCTGTGGTTTTGGGTCATGATCTACCAGTGCTCTGGGACTTGTTGCAGTCAGTACCATCATGTAATATGGTTGTTACCAGAGCTCAGGCAAGCAAAGGAGAAGAAAGGCAACAGCTGCTTAGTACCCTACCTTTCTTTGAGAAAGATGTAGAACCCTTTTGCTCTGCAAAGCCCAGGAAATCCCATCGACAGAAAAGGTTTGAAAGAATTCCATATAATGCTTCTAAAATACCAGTTGAATCACTTTCTGACTTTTCCCCAGAATTCAAGTTGCCTACTAACATTGCTCAGCTACAACAGGAGGATGCCAGTCTTGTCCCTTTACCTGAATAGAGTAAAGCAGGAGGATGTAGAGACTGCTGACGATGACATAAAGGAAAGATATTGCTTTCAACAAGGAATACTCTCCCGTCAGGTTGGGTCGGTGACACAACTGGTGGTACTACAGTGTGTCCGTGAGGTTATTCTCACTCTTGGCCATTCAATTCCTTGGGCTGGCCACCTGGGGAAACGTAAAACAATCGCTAGGATTAGAAAATACTTCCATTGGCCTGACTTGAACAAAGAGGTAACCCAATATTGTAAAAGTTGACCAGAATGTCAAAAAGTCTCTACCCGAGGCCCAGGTCGGGACCCTCTCCAACCTCTGCCAATTATAGGCACTCCGTTTGAAAGACTGGGAATGGATGTTGTCGGGCCTGTTGAAAGGAGTCGTTCAGGTAACCGATTTATGCTTGTTGTAACAGACTACGCTTCAAGGTATCCCGAAGTGTTCCCACTAAAGTCTATTAAAGCAAAGCATGTGGTGACCTGCTTAGTGCAACTGTTTTCCAGAGTTGGGTTTCCTTATGAAATCTTGACAGATCAAGGAACTAACTTTATGTCTACCCTTCTGAAACAGGTATACAAACTGCTGGGTATCAAGAGTCTGAGAACAACTCCTTACCACCCCCAGGCTGATGACCTCACAGAAAGGTTTAACCAGACTCTGAAACAGATGCTGCGCAAGTTCGTTTGTGACTCTGGCAAAGACTGGGACCAATAGCTCCCTTACCTTCTATTTGCCTATAGAGAGGTGCCATAGTCATCTACCGGCTTTGCCCCTTTTGAACTTGTATATGGGCATGAGGTAAGAGGTCCTCTCTCTCTCTGCTTCAAGAGATATGGGAGGAGCACCAGCGAAGAGATGAGCCGATTAATGTTGTGTCCTATGTGGTGCAGATGCGAGAACGCTTGGAGAAGATGACTGCACTGGCTCAATCTCATTTAGCAGAGGCTCAATCACGGCAGAAAACCTGGTATGATCAATCTGCTCGTGAGTGAAGTTTTTAACCTGGTGAAAAGGTCTTGGTGATGCTGCCCAGTCATGAAAGTAAATTGTTGGCGAAATGGCAGGGTCCGTTTGAAGTTAAAAAGAAACTTGGACCCACCACCTATGAAATTTCAATGTCTGGCCAAGACCGTCCTTCCCGAATCCTGCACATTAATCTGATTAAGCAGTGGGTATCTCGTCCTGACAAGTCTGCTCAGATCTTGATGATTAAACAAGTGAAGGAAGATGAGGAATCGGATGACCAATATTTACCTCAGCCTGCTGTAGGAGGTGTCGATCTGAGTCACCTGTCACCACAGCAACAGCAAGAGGTGAGGGCCATTTGCTTACCGGGAGTCTTTTCAGAATATCCTGGGTTTACAACAATAATAGAACATGACATTGTATTGAAACCTGATGCTGTTGTAAGGAGAATGAGTTACCGTGTTCCAG